AAAAAAAAAAAAAAAAAAAAAAAAAAATCATAGAAAAAGAGATCAGACTTGTAACCAGAGGTGGAGGGTGGAGGAAGGGGGAATTGGAGGCAGGTGGTCAAAAGGCATAAACTTTGAATTAAAAGATAAGTAAGTACTAAGGAGGTAATGTGCATGATAACTATAGCTACCATTGCCATATGATGTAAAGGAAAGCTGTTAGGAGAGTCAATCCTAATAGTTCTCATCACGAGGAGAAACATTTTTTACCTTTTTTTGTCTTTCTTTTCTTTTTATTGTTACCTATCGGAGAAGAAAGATGTGCAGTAAACCTATTGAGGTAATCAGTTCACAATATATGGAAGTCAAACCACCATGCTGTATGCCTTAAACTTATACAGTGATGTGTGTCAATTATTCCTCAATAAAACTGGAAAAAAAAAATAGAACTATCATATGATCCAGCAATTGCACTTCTGGGTATTTAGCTGAAGAAAACAAAAATACTAACTTGAAAATACACATGTGCCCCTATGTTCATGGCGGCATTATTTACAATAGCCAGGACGTGAAAACAACCTAAGTGTCCATCAACAGACGAATGGATAAGGAAGATGAGGTATATCTCTCCAGGGGGATATTATTCAGCCAGAAAAAAGAATGAAATCTTGCCATTTGCAATAACATGGATGGGTCATGAGGGCGTTGTGCTAAGGGAGATAAGTTAGACAGATAAATACTGTATGATCTTATTTATATGTGGAATCAAATTAAAAAAAGAAAAAAGAACTCATAAATACAAAGAACAGATTGGTGGTTGCCAGAGGCAGGGGGTGGATGAAATGGGTAAAGGGGGTCACAAGGCACAAACTTGGAGGTACAAAATAAATAAGTCCCAGGGGTGTCACGTAGAGCATGGGGACTATAGTTAATAATAAGGTATTGCATATTTGAAAGTTGCCAAGAGAGTCGATCTTAAGAGTTCTCATCATACGAAAAATAAAAATAAATTTTGTAACTATGTATGGTGACCAGTGTTAGCCAGACTTATCGTGGTGATCATTTTGCAAAACATGTGACCCTTCAACAACATGGGTTTGAAATGTGTAGGTCTACTCACATGCTGATTTTTTTTTTAATAAATACAGTACAGTCTGGTATATGTATGATTTTCTTAATATTTTTCTCTAGCTTACTTTATTATAAGAATACCATATATGATACATGTAACATGTAAAATATTTGTTGATTGACTCTTGATGTGATCAGTAAGACTTGTAGTCAACAGTAGGCTATTATCCGTTAAGTTTCTGGGGAACCAAAAGTTCTATGTGGATTTTCAACTGCACTGCGTGGTGGGTGGGTGTTCAGTGGCCCTAAACCTCATGTTGTTTAAGGATCAACTGTATATACAAATATTGAATACTTATGTTGTATACCTGGAACTAATATAATGTTATGTATCAGTTACATCTCAATTCAAAAAAGAAAAAGAAAATTAGACTAAGAAATGTCAGACCAAATTTCGTTTTCTGAATGGTTGTGACATCTATGAATGTCACGTGTTCGTTACAAGGACCTTTAATAATACACCTCGGGCTGGATGGAATCCAAGTCGGTTCACGACGGAAATCCCCCCCAGGAGCCCCTGGGCTGGGGGAGAAAGCTTACGCTGTATCGCTCGAAGCCGAGGAATCACCGTGGGGCTACTAGGAGGACTGGAACCATTGCTGTTCAAGCTCCTCCGTTTGTCCAAGTTGGGAGAGGCCTGCACAGTGATTTTATGCTGGAAATCTGTGGGACATGGAAACAAGGAAGAATTAAGGTTTCATGGTTTTTAAGTTCCATTCATGGCCACTTTCATCAGCACAAAGCAACAAAAGCAAAAATTGCCCAAGGGTAAGAAGGCAGGTATCTCTGGCTCTGTTGCTTGGTTTCCTTCTTCTCTTCCACTCAGGGTTCAAGTCAATAAATAATGACTCAGAGCCTACGATACATTAGGTACGGTCAGATACATACAGAACAATGAGACACTGAGTACTTGCAGAATCGAACCATCTTCTGGGAAGAAGAGTTACCTCTGTGTAGCCTGATATGGTTATAAACAAAATTAGAAGAGGAGATGCCTTGGACTTAAATGAGCCTTGGTTCTGTCACTAGCAAACTCTGGACCTCAGACGAGTCTGGACCTCAGACCTCTCTGAACTGGTCTCCTCAACTGTTAGACAGAAACAACCAACATTGCACAGATTGCTGTGGTGATTAAAACAGAAAATGCAGTTAAACGCTAAGGCGGGGGGGGGGGGGGGGTGGTTTCAGGACAAAACACTCCCCCCAATACTCCCCCTTAACCTATCACATTTCTTCACGACTGTCCACTCTTCATCAAATCTAGCATAAAAATACTCTGCTCTGTTTTTACGGGGTCTTCATTTCCTTAGGGAGGCTCCCCTGTTGTATAAAACGTACGTTAAATAATTGCTTTGCTTTTTTTCCCCCCTGGTAATCTGTCCTTGACAGTCTGATTTTCAGACCCAGACAGGGACCCTAAGAGGGTCAAGGAAAACTCCCCAACCCTGTCTCAGTTAAAAGCATTTTGTGGTCAACATACCCTACAAATCATAGTTAATCTGACCCAACCTTAATATGGGCAGCTGCCACGGAAGAGTATGTTGACAATATGGGAATATACAGAAGGAGTAATGTGGCCAGAGGGAAGTGGAGGGTGTCTGGGAAAACTCTGTCAACTGTAAGAAAGTTATCAAAACCTTAGACCCAGGTAAAGGAAATTATTGGGTGTTCTTTCAGAGTGCACGGCTGAGCTTAACCTTTGACTTTCTCTTTACAGGGCTAATTTTTACAACTCCGTCGGGGCAGAGGTTAACTTGTAGATTCTATCTGGTGGCAACACCAACAATTTCTGTCTGGTGTGAAAGACAATCCCCAAGGTTCTGGTTACTGCCATCCTGGGCACTAACCAGATTTGTATTTAACCTAGCAATCTAACCCTAACGTCCCCTTATTAAATTGCCTGTACATACTTAGCTCCTCAAATTCTCAATGAAACCAATTGTAACTGGTTCTCTGGTTATTAACGAGTTGAATAAAAATCTTGGACACGTGTCCATTTCACATTTGAAAGAGAGCTATAATTTTCCTTTCTGAAAACTATACTTTATGCTTTATTTAAAAAAAAATTTTTTAATGTTTATTTTTGAGAGAAAGAGAGAGAGAGTGCAGGGGAGGGACAGAGAGAGAGGGAGATACAGAATCCGAAGCGGGCTCCAGGCTCTGAGCTGTCAGCACAGAGACACACACGGGGCTCGAACTCACGAGCCGTGAGATCATGACCCAAGCCCAAGTCGGATGCTTAACAAACTGAGCCATCCAGGCGCCCCTATACTTTATGCTTTAAAGAACTTTAAAGAACCACCCAGTGTTTGGAATGAGGGGAAGCTGGAATTTGGTAGCCCAGACATCTATCCAATCATTCATGTTAGATGCCTGAAAATTTTTAATACTGTCTCCTCCCCCACCCTCCATATCCAATTAAACACAAAATAGCTTGTAAATTTGGGGTTACAGATTCATGTCAGAGCTATCGTTGAGAAATTTATATTCTGGCTTCTGGAAGCAGCCAACTCCACATCAGAATCCCAGCTTACCACTTCCCAGCCACGTGGATTTTCGAGAGGTGACTTAACCTCCTGGGGTCTCGATGTCTCCGTATACAAAACTGGATAATAAATAGTGATTCCTACTTTGTAGGACAGCATGAAAAATTAAATACAAAGAAGTACAGAAAATATTTAGCTTGGGGCTCCTGGCATAATACATGTTCAGTAGATACAGGTTAGTCATTCTTTTTGTTCTCTCCGTCTCTACGGCATCCATCATTCCATGCCGAACCTGCCACATTTTCTCTTGATCTTCCTGCACCTCTCCCCTGGGCCCCTCTCGTCTAGCTCACAGCAGTCAGATGCATTTTAAAAACGTATGCCAGACCATGCCATTCCTCTGCTGAAAACCCTTCAAAGGCTTTGCTTTTTTTTTTTTTTTTTTTTTTTTTTTTGAGAGAGAGAGAGAGCATGAACGGGAAGAAGGGCAGAGAGAGAGAGGGAGTCACAGAATCCAAAGCAGGCCCTGCACTGTCAGCACAGAGCCCGACGCCAGGTTCGAACTCACCAGCCATGAGATCATGACCTGAGATGGAGTCAGCGCTTAAGGGGCTGAGCCGCCCAGGTGCCCTTAAGTTATTTAAGTTCCTAAGTTACAGAGATCAAAATGCTAACACACTCGGGGTTCTTCGTGCCTCTAGCCCCATCCTGCCCTGTTCTCCTGTCATTTGCTATGGTTTGAACCAGGGGTCGGCAAACTTTTTCTGTTAAGTGCCACATAGGAAATGCATGGCCTCTGTCATAATTACTCACATCTGTTGATTTAGCAAGAAATCAATCATACAATAGACATAAATGTGTTCCAATACAACTTGCTTATGGAAATGGCAATTTAAATTTCCTGTAATGTTCACGTACCATGAAATATTGTTCTTCTTATTCTTTTCAAGTATCTAAAAGTGCATGAGCCACTCTTAGCTTGTGGGCTGCACAGAACAGGTGTGGTAGGGTAGATTTGGCCCACAGTGTGCAGTTTGCTGAGCCCAGGACAAACCACATGGGTCTTTCTCAGTTCCTGGCAGGAACCAAGCCTTCTTTGCATGTGCTCTCTTCCTTCTCCCTCTGTATTCAGTCAAGTCTTATTTCAAGTCTCAATTTAAAATTTTTGCCGGGGCGCCTGCGTGGCTCAGTCGGTTAAGCGTCTGACTTCAGCTCAGGTCATGATCTCGTGGTTGGTGAGTTCGAGCCCTGTGTTGGGCTCTGTGCTGACAGCTCAGAGCCTGGAGCCTGCTTCAGATTCTGTGTCTCCCTCTCTCTCTGCGCCTACCCCACTCAAGAAAGTGGAGAAGGAGAGCTGTCAGACACGCTCTGTCTCTCTTTCTCAAAAATAAACATTAAAAAAATAAAAATTTTTGTGAATCCTTTTATTTTCATTTTTTTTTTAGAGAGAGAGAGAGAGAGAACACCTGGAGCAGAAGAGGGCCAGAGAGAGAGGAAGAGAGAGAACCTCAAGCAGGCTCCATACGAGGGGCTCGATCTCACAACCCTGGGATTGTGACCTGAGGCAAAATTAAGAGCTGGACGCTTAACCAACTGACCCATCCAGGTACCCCCAAATCTCAACTTAAATGTTACTTCTTTAGGACAACTCTCTTGATCTTCGTAAAGCAGGTGACATCTTTCCACTACTCACTGTCATATGACTTTTCCCTCATAGCAGTTAATAATTTTATCAAGTAAATAAGTATTTAATTATTAGCTTAAGGTTCGCTCCCCTCCCAGTACAGTGTCAGCTCTACGCTGGCAGGGGCCATATAGACTCCATCACAGTACGACCCCAGCGCAGGCTGGCGAAATGCCTCGCCCATGAAAGATACTCAGTAAATCTCTGCTGAATCAATATTTTATCTGTTTACGTTTATAAGTAATGTAAGGGCAGAGATCATGTTTATTTTTTCGCAATCCCTATTACTTGATCACGGTAAATCCTCAAGTATTTGTTGAAGGCGAAAATGGTGTAAGGTTTTACAACAGAATCCGACTGGTGCTCACTTACAGTCAATTGCTGAAAAATACACAGCTGGGTGTAGGGTGGTTTGGAAGACAAAACAAGTGGAAACGAAGTAGCAGATGGGAGGCTTCCTCCATCTACCAAGATCTGACCGGGCAGAGAGCAGTCTGAGTAAAGAATAAAGATCGGAGGTGAGAGAACAGTTCAGCAGGTGATTGGACTGACTGGCGGGTGGGGGAAGGTTAAGAGAAACAGTCTTACCCGTAGGTATGAAAGAGTTTATTTTAGACTGAAGTGCTTTATAAAGGTTCAGCCAGCCCCATGATACGTCAGAACACTGGAAGCGAATTCCCCACGAGTTGTGGAGAAGGAGGAGCCACCAGCCCAGAGCAGAGCAGACGGCGGCTGTGTTCTTGTAGCCCTCAGAACTAGAACCCAGAACCAGACCACAGCATGGGAACGATAAACCAGGTGGAACAAGGGATGGCCAGGTGACCAGCAGAGAACATCTGTAAGGCCAAGGAGGAGTAGCACAAGTACCAAACTGGATTTTAACAACACCTAAGATTCAGAGTGCTTCTGATCTCCTGGAAAAGTCTAAATAATTTCTCTCTCACAAAAAAAGGAGTCTAAGTTTAAAAAAAATTTTTTTAATGTTTATTCATTTTTGAAAGAGAGTGAGAGAGAGAGAGAGAACGTGGGGAGGGGCAGAGAGAGAGGGAGACACAGAAGGCAAAGCAGGCTCCAGGCTCTGAGCTGTCAGCACAGCGCCTGACGCAGGGCTCGAACCCACGAACCAGGAGATCGTGACCTGAGCCGAAGCCAGACACTTAACTGACTGAGCTACCCAGGCACCCCTGGACTCTTTATGTCTTAAACATAAAGAAAATATTCTTTTTGTTTGTTTGTTTGTTTGTTGGAGAGAGAGGAGTGGAGAGAGGAGAGAGAAAGAGAGAGAGAGAGAGAGAGAGAGAGAGACCGCACGCATGGGGAGGGGCAGAGGGTGGGAGAGAACCCAAGCAGGCTCCACATTCAGCATGGAGCCCCACTCTGGGCTCGATCTCACTACGGTGAGATCACGACCTGAGCCAAAATCAAAAGTCGGACATTCAACTGTCTCAGCTACTCAGGGGTCCCCCAAATATTATTATAAATACCCTTGTCCCTGTGAGTTGGGGAAAGGTTGACTTTGTCCCAGTTCTACATTTAGGAAAACTGGCTGATGTTCAGTTTTTCATCCTACTTGAGAGAATAATTGTCTCATGGCAGATTCTCATGAGGTCCCCAGACTTTTGAGTAAAACTATACTTGTGTTTTTATTGGCAATATAGATGTTTCATGACAGTATCAGTGGGGATAATCAGTTGACCCTGCAAATAGTAGCATTTGCACACACACACACACACACACACACACACACTCTCACATGTGCACACGTGAAGGAAGATGACTGTGGCCGGCTTTTGGCATTTCTGAAGTGGTTACAATTAGGATCCCATTGCTTTTGAAAGATACCAAATTTGAAGGCTTCAAACCTTCTTTGCCTTATTTTATAGGTTCTAAACATACAACTTTGGCCTGAGATAAACATAAGGCAGAGCACGTGGTACAAAGTGGTCACCATAGAAATACATCTACCGTGATCACTCTAAGATTCCAACAAGTTCCAAGAATTCACAAAGTACAATTTATACTTTATGTAGACGATATCGTCTACACTTTTGTAGATTATATCGTCTCATTTTATAAGCATCCACCCTTGTTTGGGGAGTGCCCATAAAGGACTGCCAGCGGAAGGATTACGTTGGAGTTTTCTAGTGGTTAAGTCATCACAGCTATAAATAGTCATAAGATTAAAAGTTATCCTCAGTGATTCTGAAGGACAAAATTATGATGAGCTAATTTTTCACATTTAATAACAAGTTTTTGGAAGAGGGAGAGGCACAAATATTAAAGGTCAGTTTGTAGGAGTCTCCAATATGCTTCTGAGAAAATTTTTAAGCTAGTTACACATAGGGAAAATTTCCTGCAAAAGGGGTTCAAGCAATTTGTACGCTGAAAAGAAACTACCACTGCCATTCGAGCTGCTGTCTAGCAGATGTTTCTTCCTTAATAGTGTACCGCTAAACAGTACTAACATTTGGTAACTCAAAGAATTTTCTAGAAGACAATTAGTTCCTTGGAGGTGCAAATAATTGCTTTCTCTTCTATACTAAGCAAAATTCCTGGAGGAAATAAGTAACTATTGTTAGTTATCATTTTTCTCTTTGGATCTTTGGATATGTATCCTACTTTGGGACACTATGCAAGTAAATTGTGTGTGTGTGTGTATGTGTACATGTGTGTGTATGTGTATATATGTACCTGTGTATATGTGTCGGGGGGGGGTGAAAAGTTGGGGGAATCTAAAGAGAATCAGTTTCCAGAGCAGTAACAATCTGACAACAATGTAGCAATACCTTGTGGCCAGAAGAGGTAAACCCCATGCTAAATTAAAGAAACAATTTAATTCTTTGAAAATGGATTAGGACTATAGCAGATTTTTGGGGTATGTTTTAATGGGAAATCTTTTATTGAATGCCATAAGGCAAATAAATGTAGAACAAATTCTCAGAAAGGGAGAATGTAATCCAGGAACAATATAAATCTAGCAAAAATAGTCGAATATATTTGGTCTGCTTCGAGTGAAGACAAGATATCGCGGAAACACGATTTGAGATGAAAAGCAGGAGTGACAGTGACCTCAGGAATCCTGAGACGTTTGCTTTAATCACCTTACCACTGAAGAGTAAAGAATCACGGGAATGATTTAATTTTTTTCTTCCAAGTTTATTTTCCATCAGTTTCTCATTAGCCATGCCCCTCCCAAGTCCCCCAGGGAATCGGTGAATATTAATTAGCATAACCTAGTCGCCACACAGATAGAAGGCTGATAGAGCCAAGACCTGGAGAAATTCTGAATTTTTCTATCATCTACACTTGAAAGCAGAAGCCTCATCATAAATAAAACAGTTTCTTTTAAATTATGTGGGACCCACAAGACAGCACAGTCAGTGGTCCCCCAAGTTACACTTTGGCTAAAAAGCAAACATCCGAAGAGATCCTGAAAAAAGATCTTTTTTTCCTCCAGAGAGGTCAAAGGTAAAGGGAGGAAGGACCACACACAGCCTGCTTCCACTACATCAAACCAAATAATCAATAACGTATACTGTGTACTCACCATGGCCACACATCAGCGATTTTCTGACTAACTGAGGGCACTGGCAATAATCCAAAAAGTCACATTATGTTGGGAGGCTTCCAGGAGTTTGTGATAAGTAATTTTATGAGACAATGTATACATACTTTATATAAAAGAAAAGTGTTGTTGGGGTACCGGGTGGCTCAGTCGGTTAAGCGTCTGGCTTCAGCTCAGGTCATGATCTCGCGGTTCGTGAGTTCAAGCCCCGCGTCCGGCTCTGTGCCAACAGCTCAGAGCCTGGAGCTGCTTCGGATTCTGTGTCTCCCTCTTTCTCTGACCCTCCCCTGTTCATGCTCTGTCTCTGTCTCAAAAATAAATAAATGTTAAAAAAAAAAAAAAAATCTCATCCTGCCGTCTCTTCCCGGGCTGGAGACAACAAAGAAGCCCATCACACAGACGACATTCAAAACTCTTGCAACACACGCAGACGAGCGCATACCTGAAGGTAAGCTGATGCGATGTCCGTCTTTGAGCTTTAACCGACTCCGCCTGAACTTTCCCTTCCTCTTCTTGACGTTGGGCTTCTCCTGGTTTAACTGGAAGATCAAAATGTTGAGCTCCCGCTCCAGCACGTCGATCTCCCGCTCGGCCAGCTGCTGCTCCCGCCGCTTGAGCAGCGCCTCCTGGGACTTCTGCTGGAGGGCGGCCCGGGTCAGCTCCTCCTCGCGGGACCGCAGCTCCTGGGGCACAGAGCACGCGGTGTAAGCAAGAAGCGGGAGTGGCTCTTCTCCAGCTCAGCCCCCCGCCGCCCCGGTCCTCCCGGGGCAGCAGCCTTGGCAATCAGGACAGCAGGAGCTAAGACCTCCCCGGCCCAGCATTGACTCAGACTACAAGCAATCCGCCTGCGCTCTGCGTCCTGAGTCTCAGGGTCCCCAAAAGGCGTCACCAATTTTTCGAACCCGATTTTAACACTTCTCCCTCCTCATCGCTGGCCCTCACGATCACCTGACACAGAAAGTGTTCGGTAACATAGAGCAACAGAGGACAGAGGTGATCGACCCATTTCCCAAATAAAGCCAAACGGTAAGACTTGACTGATTAAAGGAGAATCATCCTACTCATGAAAGACCACAGTTCAGATTTCTCTACCTGGGAAGAACTTCGTTCGGTTATTTAAGGATTTGCTTAGGGGTTAAAACATCCTGGTGGAGAGATTCCAGGAACAACAAAGCTAATGGGTCAGAAGGCAGCGGAAGGCCCAAGAGAAATGAAAATGAGCATCCCTAAAATTGTAAGCCCCTGGAAAATGAATTTTTCAGGACCCCATGGATGAATGAGAAGTATCACTTCTGACACAGATCGCATGAATTAGCTCATGAAGGCCGCTCTGTCACAATTAAAGTCTAACTTCCAAAACCTGGCTTTGGTTTCAGAGTTATTTAGCTTCATAGAAAGCCCATGAATTAAAGAATACAGTTAATCCTTGAAAAACACTGAGTTGGGAGCATTGACCCTCCCCACCCCCACCTTGCCATGGAAAATCCATATATAACTTTTGAGCCTCCAAAACATAACCACTAATAATAGCCAACCACATAGTCAATTAACACGTATTTTGTATGTTACATGTATTACAGAGTGTATTCTTACAATAAATGAAGCTATAGAAAAGAAAATGTTTAATAATAATGGAGAGAAGATATATTTACAGTCCTGTACTGTATTTATTGAAAAAAGCCACATATAACTGGACCCACATAGTTTAAACCTGTGTTGTTCAAAGATTGTTCCTATTAGGAAAAAAGTACTCAATAGTAAAACCAAGAACTCTACCAAGTTTTAAAATCACACTTCCACTCTTACTTCATTTCTATAAAATGTTATGTGTGTCTTTTTTTTTTTTTTTTAATGTTTACTTATTTTTGAGAGAGAGACAGAGTGTGAGCGGGAGAGGAGCAGAGAGAGAGGGAGACACAGAATCGGAAGCAGGCTCCAGGCTCTGAGCTGTCAGCACAGACCCCGACGCGGGGCTCGAACTCACGAGCGATGAGATCACGACCGGAGCCAAAGTCGGATGCCTACCCACCGAGCCACCCAGGCGCCCCTAAAATGTTCTCTTCTTTACCAGAGACATAAATGTTCCTTTTAGTGCTGAACTTCTTTGTCTTCTTGATTGCCCTGCTACTCAATCAAGGAGTCATACTGAAATCAAGGCACTTGCAAACTTTTATTTACACTGCTCCAGAAAATTTAATCTTAGACTGTCCTAACACCAGAAGCTTTGTTAGAAACTATAGATGCCAGCTCAGATGTAGCTTTGAGCTAGGAGCTGTGAGAGCTCCGAGGACTGGGCAAACATATCACACTTTATATAAGCAGCCACACTTGATACAGCCCATGTCAAGAATACTGATACAGAGAAAAACAAAAACAAAAACAAAAAACACTCTAAAATAGAGGCTCAAGGAAGAAGCCAGAGCTGAGGCATGGGATTAAAATGTCAACTCAAGTCTGCTAATCCCTTGGACTTTTTATAGAAGGGCTCAATGAATACATGGAGGCTGTCAGTACAATTATCACAGAGGAAAAACAGAAGACCCTCATTCTGTAAATAAATATAATAATATCAAGAAGAGACTGAGGAGTTCTAAAAAAAACAAAAAAAAATTATTTATTCAGATCAAACGAATTCTGAATTTATTGTTAATTTACAAAGCGGGCTGAAATTCACCTTTGAAACATTCTTAAAATTTGCTTTTTCTAAACAAAGCTCACAAAACTGCAAAAGATTTACTTAACACCGGTTGATATTCAAGTCACTTCTGCTAATATGTACCAGCTGATTCTTATTTATAAGCAGATCAGTATTTCTTCGTTACATTATGCCAGACGTAAATTACTATATACTACATGAAAGTAAAGGAAAACAAAGAAAATGCTACATATTAGAAAAAATTCTGAAATCTGTTATATAACTGATGGCTTTTTCCAACCAGTTTGTCCAAACTGGAGATCTTACCGTCGTGTATTTGGGGACAGAAGATACTTTCCAGTCAACTTTCAATGTCTAACTCATTACTGTCTGCCCTTTTGTTAAGATATTACTTTTCAGTGGTGTTGATATCAATCCAATTAGCTATTATGGAATGAAATGGCATAAGGTACAGATAAGGCCAGCAAATTCAATTAGGCTTTTTGTGTGTTACTACTACAATAATTGAAGAAGAAACCATTTTTAATTCCGGGTCCCGGGCGAAAATGTGGATCCCCTGGCCATGACTTTATAAATTAAAAACAAACAAACACTTGCCCGAGACTTAAGAGAAAAAAAATAAGATCAAAGAGAAAACAGCCAAAGTACTCTTCTTTCTGAATGCATTTTAAAACAGTCAAAAGTAAAAGAAAAAAAAAAAAAGGCTGGAGTATTAGAACCCCTTCGAATACTTTGAAATTATGAAGCATACACAAAAATTCTTTTGGTTGCTGAGATTTCTAAGCAGTAATATTTGTTTAACTGCTTGGCACGGGCCAGTCTAGTAATGGCAAATCCAGATTCCTGGCAGATGTTAATCATTAATGGCGGTATGTCTTCCAATAGTGGTTCAAAAACAGGTGCATGGACCCAGTGCACAAAGACAGACACACAAAGATAAGAAGCCAGGAATTTAGGGAGGAACCGATATCCGTGGAGGCTACAGTTTACTGAGTAACGCAGAGCACAGCCAAGTTACTGACCATTAATTCCAAGTCTGACGCCTCCTACCTTAAGCAATCAGTGAACGAGAAAGGGAGATAGTGCACGTACACCCTGCACTCGACTCTGTCGAGAAAGACGCAAGGAGAAGAAACCTTTGAGCAAAATCCAAGAACAAAAAACCCCCCAAAAGCATTATAGATTCTCTTCAATTTTGAGTCAAAGGCTCATAAGATACCATACATGTGGTATTTCAAGGAGCACTGCACAGATATCACATAAAAGGAGAAAGCAAGGACGCCATGAGTGGACAGCTCAAAAATGATTCCAAAGAATAATAAAGAAACTACTGTAAACCCCCACATGGAAAAAGGGAAGACACGCATTCTTGAAGGATGCTTTCTGACTTTTATACAATGTAAAGTAAGAATTAATTCACTGGATATCCTTCTATCTGGCAGTGTCATGAATAATTATCAATAATTTAAAATAAGTAAATTAGATAAAAATCATCGTTATTAATAACATCACCTCTAAATTTTAAATCCTGTGAATTCTTTTATTTTTCCTCTAAGTTCACTCCCATTCCCCAAAATCTTTTTTTTTTTTTTTTTTTTTTTTTTTTTTTTTTTTTTTTAATTTTTGCTATTAAACATCTAAGAATTCCTGAAAACAATTTGGGGAAGTGTGAAAACAAAACAAAACAAAACAAATCAGTATTTTTCTCTACCATGTTAAGTGAACGAAATGTATTAAAGTTTCCAAGAAACTATTAATAATATCGCGGAAAGTAATCCTTCGATGAAACACAAGATTTAAAAGCTAATCTGGCCGGTCATTTTCAAGCATTTTCCTGCTCAGAGGAGCCCAGTTTCCCGAACGACTGGGCCAGGGATTGGCAGCGGCTGTTAGAAGCTGCTCTGGTTCCAATCAAAGCCACCGCTTTCTTTGGCACTTGCCAAGTAATGGGCACTGCTCTGAGCCCTGTGCACACACCACCCCAGGGAGCCGGCAGCGTGACTGTGACCTTTAATGGGGAGGTGGCGAGCAGGGAGGGAAGAGCCCCGGGTCCAGCCAGCTGTCTGGCTCCAGTCGTAACCGCTTCGCTAGACTGCTACGGATTTTGGCACTCTGCTAAAAACTTATATTAAAAAAAGGGAGGGGGAAGGAGTCTATCATTGTTTTTAGAATCCCATTTCGATATCCCCTTTCGTCTGTGTGGCTCCCTCGAGGGAAGGAAGCTGAATGCAGTCTACTGAGCCACCGTCTGCTCTAAGCGTCAGAAAGTTGTTGATTCCCAGACCACATTTTTTTATATTAAATATAATTTATTGTCAAATTGGTTTCCTTGTAAAACCCAGTGCTTATCCCAACAGGTGCCCTCTTCAGTGCCCATCACCCACTTTCTCCTCTCCCCCACCCCCCATCAACCCTCAGTTTGTTCTCAGTATCTAAGAGTCTCTTATGGTTTGCCTCTCTCCCTCTCTGTAATTTTTCCCCTTCCCCTCCCCCATGGTCTTCTGTTAAGTTTCTCAAGATCCACATATGAGTGAAAACATATAATATCTGTCTTTCTCTGCCTGACTTATTTCACTTAGCATAATACCCTCCAGTTCCATCCACATTGCTGCAAATGGCTAGATTCCATTCTTTCAAATTTTCAATTTTCTCATTGCCAAGTAGTATTCCATTGTATATAGAAACCACATCTTCTTTATCCATTCATCAGTTGATGGACATTTAGGCTCTTTCCATAATTTGTCTATTGTTGAAGGTACTGCTATAAACATTGGGGTACAAGTAAGTGCCCCTATACATTAGCATTCCTGTATCCCTTGGGTAAATTCCTAGTAGTGCTATTGCTGGGTCATAGGGTAGATCTATTTTTAATTTTTTGAGGAACCTCCACACTGTTTTCCAGAGCGGCTGCACCAGTTTGCATTCCCACCAACAGCGCAAGAGGGTTCCTGTTTCTCCAGACCACATTTTATTATTAAAAAAAAAATTCTTTTTAACATTTATTTATTATTGAGAGAGAGAGAAACACACACACAGAGCATGAGCAGGGGAGGGGCAGAGAGAAGGGGAGATACAGAATCCAAAGCAGACTCCAGGGTCTGAGCTGTCAGCACAGAGCCTAATGCAGGGCTTGAACTCACAAACTGCAAGATCATGACCTGAGCCGAAGTTGGTCACTCAACCAACTGAGCCACCCAGGCGCCCCACCAGACCACATTTTAATCCCTGGAGCTTTGACCCAAGAGGCCCTACTTCCAAACTCTGCAACATGAACCCTCTGAGTTCTTCCAGTATTCCAGGGTAGCCCCTGCAATTACCATTCCCTTCTGCACCCCTTCTGTTCTTTGTCCAGACTTGATTTCCAGGTCCTCCTTCTGCCTTCCAGGCCATCTTCCTTGGGAGGCTCTTTAAAACCTGATGCCAACAGTCAAACCCACTGTCTAAGGTTGCATCTGCCGGTTTTGTATTTTCCAACTTACAAAATACTGAAAAATCTAAGAAGGGGCTGAATTACTTAAGTCTACTACTTGAAAAAAAAAATGACTTCAGGAAAAGATAAGTGACTTCAGCAGTTTACATATTTCTCTCTAACCTTTAATCACTTAAAATTAGGAAATATTTAAAATATACTACAATCAGAGAGAACAGCAAATACCCATACACTCACTGTCAATATTTGACAGATGCTAAGGTTTTACCTCATCCGTTTCAGATCCGCTAAAGTCTCATGTGCAGCACGCTCTAAATTCTCTCCTCTCCCTCTTCTTGTCTGCGGTTCCTTGGTTGCCCCGTAACCCTCCCTCATCCAGACCTTCAGACTTTTGGTACATCTGAATGGCACTGGTTTAAGTGTTTTACCAATTTCCATAAATGGTATCTAGCGTAACTATCCTTCTGCAACTCACTTTTTCCACTCAATTTTACATTTGAGATTTATCCTCGTTGCAATATGTAGCTAGAATTCATTCATTTTGACTGGTTTGAAGATTTCCAGTCCGAATCAATACTGACTATACTGGATCAATACACAGTAGTTTGGGCATCTGTTCCCTGTTCATGGATACTGAGGCCAATCCCAGGTTTTCACTATCACAAACCATGCTTCAGTGAACAACCAAAACTTCTCCGGGCACACATGTGGGTGTCCCTCAAGAATATGTAAGTAGAAGTTAAACAGCTGAGTTGTAAACCTCTTCGATGGCATACGATTCAGAACAGATTTCCAATATATACATCTAAATTCCCTGTTTCCCTTGAGTAATAATGGTGGTAATGATAATCGCTAGTATCACTCACCTACTAGAATACATTTCAGGTTAGAATACATTCAGGATATTAAGAAACTTTGCGTAGGTTAATGTAACGTACTTATTTACTATCTACCATGTGCTGAGTACTCTGTTCAATGCCATGGATGAAAATGACCAAGAATAAGATAGTGTAGCTGACTAATATATTATCTAGCAGAAATGGCAAACCAAGAAGTCAGACTCAGCGCCAGCTGAGTGTGGGATGCTGTGACACACAGCTTATCTGGTGCATCTGGGTGAGGGGAGGGAGCTACAAAGGACTCACAGCCAAGGAGCCAGCAACTGTGAGGTGGGGCGAGAAGCTAAGGAGGGGACAGTATTCTGGACCCACAAGAGCGTGTATCTGGAGACCGAAGGTCAAGAGTGTGGTGGCATCAGAGGAACTGAATGGAATTCAGGACGGATGGGACACAGTGAGGCTACATATGGAAGGACAAAGGAAATTAATAAGGGAAAGAAATTGGCCGCTGAAGAAGGATGCTCAGATTTGCATTGTAGAAGGGCCACTGGAGGTGAGGGGACCAACTGGGGGAGCAAGACTGGACGCAGGGCAACCAGGGGGGATGCTGTTGCAGTGACGCAGGTGGTAAAGCGAGGACAACAGGGATTAGGGGAGGGATTCCCACTGATGGTCTCTGTCACACAGGAGACCACCAGAAACATCTTCAAAGCCCTTGGAGGCCGGGTACCAATGAGAACAGTAATCTGTCCGTCACAGAAAGAAGAAAGCAGAATGAAAGAAGATCGGGTGGGGGTGAGGGGTGGGTTCTGACTTCGGTGTTTGGCTGGAAAATGGTGCCAAGATCCACGTCTAGCCCCTTTTAAAAACTTGTCCATAAGATCCCAGACCCCTAGCCTGCCGTTCTAAGGACCTCAAGAAAAGAGACTGTCGTAATTATCTTTGTATCCCAGGACTCTAATAATGCTCCCAGCACACAGTACATAGTCAGTACATGTTTGCTGGGAAAACACAAAAGAGAACATAACCTTGAAACTCACAACAGTTTCCCCATGGACACGGTTTTAAGTTGTATGTATTTTTTAGAAAACAATTTGCACGTTGGGGAGACCCTGTGACATGCCTGGGAGTGATTCCCAATTCAGTAAGACAACAGTAGACCTAAGCTTCTCAAAGACAGAATCTGGGCACACGATGTCTTGGTGTCACGCACAGTATTATAAAAACCAGGTCAAGAAATGTTTATGCATGGGGCGCCTGGGTGGCTCAGTCGGTCAAGCGTCCGACTTCAGCTCAGGTCACAATCTCGCGGTCTGTGAGTTCGAGCCCCGCGTCGGGCTCTGCACTGACAGCTCAGAGCCTGGAGCCTGTTTCAGATTCTGTGTTTCCCTCTCTCTCTGACCCTCCCCCATTCATGCTCTGTCTCTGTCTCAAAAATAAATAAACGTTAAAAAAAAAAAAAAAAGAAATGTTTATGCACATATATTCAAACCACAGCTTGTTATTCCCTCTTTGCACTTGGGTTGACCATAGGCCTTTAGTATTACAGTCAATATAAAAGTCTACACATGTAATACAGAGCCTCTCTGCCTAAGTCCAAGTTACTCTGGCATGAGGGAATGATTCTCAGCCATGTTTTAATGTTGTAAATTTGAATCAGCAAGTGGGCTCTTTATTTAGCAAAGCATTACTGCCCTCTTAAAAAAGAATTCTACTATTTTAGAATCACAAATGTATGAAGTATAAAAATTCCTTCCTGGACAACTGCATGGCTTTGTAAAGGTTATCAAAAACTTGCGATGTTGTACTTTAGCCCAGACATTTCTTGCACATACAAACAGAACTTAACCTCTCGGATAATTATACACTTTGGACAGGCAGAATAAGGCTTGATTCATCAAAATGCTCAAGTACTACAAAAGGGTCTTCAAAAAATTAGTGCTGAACCTATAGCACAGAATCGTGCTGTAAAGTTGGGGTTCTTAGGGACCGTGAAGTCACTGTGTCACCAAAGGAGACCATGCTAATTGCATTCACTTCCCAACCAGTCTGCCTTCCAATAGGGTATACCTTTACTTCTCCTAGTTCACTGTGTATGTGGTGGCATAAATGCAGCCTCAGGTATGTTTCACATAGATGTTTATTTAGTGCTTCTTATAATAAACAAACCAACCGGAACTTAACTCATCATACTAAAAGGTTCAAAAATTATACTTTCCCAGTTTCTGCAACAAAGTACTGCTTTGGAGATAAAAGGGTGTGTGTGTGTGTGTGTGTGTGTGTGTGTGTGTGTATGGGGGGGTGTCTAGCCTAAGAAAGGCTTTAAAAGATATAGTCAATAACTTTAAAAAGACACCTTTGTGACAAACTGTGACATTTATAGAGTACTACATGACATCAAGGAATTACTATTACTTTTTGAGATAATAATGGCAAGAAAGTTATTTCTAAAATTCTTACCAGTTAGAGATGCCTGTTTTAAGATTTAAGGGTAAAAGGACATGAATTGAGGATTTAATTTAAAGTGTTCCATTTTTTTTAAAAGAAAGATGATAACAGGACTAAGAGATGTACAAAATGACAAAATACTGACAGTTACTAAAGCTGGTTAATTTATACCAAGGACTCAGTATGCTCTTCTCTCTTCTTTTAATTTTTTTTTTCTTTTTTACTTTTGAAAATTTCCCTAACAAATGATTGTTTCTTTTCCAACGATACATTTTGAGGACACTTCTGTTTTGCTTCGTTTTAGCCGGAAGGTAAGAATCAGTAACTATTCACGTCTGAAAATCTTTTACAATGGTGCTAACCGTGTTCTTGACGCAATGTTTTCCATAATCCTCGCAAATGTGGGTGTCTTCTGCAGTGACTGCATCTCTCTCACCTTTTCCTTTGTTCTCAGTTCATCAAACATTTGCTGAATTTCTAGCTTCCAGTCATCTTGCATGGAATGAAAAGATGCCTGAGGCAGGTCGGTCATAACTGCCTTTTCAATAGCAGTCAGTTGTTCAAGGATTAAGGGAAATGATGGACGGACGTGAGGGTCCTGTTGCCAGCACTCTGAAATAAATAAGAACCACATTAATTCCGTTTCTTAGCACAGCCCAGATTTTCAGCCCACGCTGATGGTGTCTACTGAAGATCCGAAAAATTAACTGATGACGACTTTGAAAATTTTATTTTACACAGCATCCAGGTCAGTGGCACGTGTACAATATTCGCTGTTAGGTAAGGCTCTTGTGGTTTCTCTGATACGACGTGAATACTGGATGTGTGCGCTCCGTGCTTCACCATGAACTGTGTGTCTCAGGGGCCTAAGCTGCCCGGCCGGTGATTTACAGGTACAGAGTTCTAGAACTTGGCCCAAGAAACCCGAAATCTCTAAAATGTTATAATCACACGAGAGGTTCTAAGAAATGGCCTCGTAATGAAGGAAGGTAACTAGCTGCCTACAAAAGGAGTCAGTTAATTTTTAAAAGCTGAACATCAAATAGATAAGGTCATGGCAAAACCACGCCGGTTAAGATCGTAAAACATTTTTGATCATTAGGTGGAATTTAAAAGAGCAGAATGGAGCCAACTAAATTCTGTCTTTGAACTTGAGTGCTGTACTTGGTGAAAACTTTATTACCATTCGGTTGGATTTTGTACATAAATGAGTCACTGATAAAACTGGATTGTTTTTTAAAAAGTGACTTAATCCATCAATGCTTTACCTGATGTCTCAGATTGAAGACAAGGTTTCGGATTCATAAAATGGTACAGTTGCTTAAAAGCATCTGAAAATTAGAATCACTGCTGTACCCAAAGTATCCAAAAGTACCCTTTTGGATACAAAATGCACAGATGTTCTCCTGAGCGGTTCCCCTTGCCTCCACAGACCCACAGAAACGGGGGGGCACAGATACCTTTCATGAGCTTGGCAAACGGCTCAGGGCAGGTGGAAGGAATGGGCAAAGTGAGCTTATTGACGGCTACTCCGTAAGCCACGGCAAGCCCATCGATGCCACGGTAGGGGACTTCTCCCGTGAGCAGCTCCCACAGCAGGACTCCATAGCTGGAAAGCAAAATTGCCATGGAGTTAAATGGGTCAAAGGGTGTCTTTTTCTTCCAAACACAAGGGGTGGGATAAATGCATCTGAGCCCTCATTCAGCCCCGACTAAAAATCTTCCCTTCTGGGACGCCTGGGTGGCTCAGTCAGTAGAGCGTTGGACTCCCTTAATTTTATTTATTTATTTTTTAACAACTGATCTCCCATTTTATTTAAGTTGTTATTTATTTTGAGAGAGAGAGAGAGAGAAAGAGAATCCCAAGCAGGCTCTGCACTGTCAGCACACAGCTCAATGTGGGGCTCGAACCCATGAACTGTGAGTTTATGACCTGAGTGAAAATCAAGACTCGGACGCTTAACGGACTGAGCCACCCAGGTACCCCTAGCGTCAGACTCTTGATTTTGGTTCAGGTCATGATCTCATGGTTTGTGGGTTCGAGCCCCATGTGGAGCTCCACGCTGGCTATGGATCCTGCTTGAGAGTCTCTCTCTCCCTCTCTCTCTGCCCCCACCTTCCCTCATGCACTCTCTCTCTTAAAAAAAAAAAAAAAAGACCCTTCTCTTCCAACAAACCCTTTAGTGGCACGTATTCCAAGGTGCGAGGTGGGGTCTTCCAGTGAACCCCCTGTTTAAACACACACAGGCACACACCTTCCCAGAAATCAGTTATGCATTAATTATAGGAATTAAAACTATATAATGAATAGGAAGCATAGAAGCAGTACATAACTGAACTAAACGGATCCAGAACCAGGCCACACTTTGATGTGGTGTTTTGACGTTTCTCCTTCTATCTCATTTTTCCACACCGGATTAAACCTCTTGAGGATTGTCAGGTCACTGAAGACATTAGCCCCACAGAAATCTCACGTTATGCACCATAGGACTTAGATAGAACCATGTTGACTATTTTTATTTTATTTTATTTTATTTTTAATTTTTTTTTTTCCAAACGTTTTTTATTTATTTTTGGGACAGAGAGAGACAGAGCATGAACGGGGGAGGGGCAGAGAGAGAGGGAGACACAGAATCGGAAACAGGCTCCAGCCTCTGAGCCATCAGCCCAGAGCCCGACGCGGGGCTCGAACTCACGGACCGCGAGATCGTGACCTGGCTGAAGTCGGACGCTTAACCGACTGCGCCACCCAGGCGCCCCCATGTTGACTATTTTTAAATGGTTGTTTTGAAATTGTTCATCTTTCTGCCTCTCCCTTTATATCTTAAGAGTTGTGTTCCTAATATTTCTACCATATTGCTTAAAAGTAATGGACAAAAAAACAAAAAAAATCAGCATGGGCCTCCCGGTGCCCACTAGTGGGACAAAACATCTCTTTTTTGTAACTCTGTATCCATTAGTACCTTAGTTTCCCTTTATAATCTGCAAAACATGAAGTACAAATTAGCTTTTGTTAATACATGAAATATCAGCCACTCCAGACATCCCATTTGATTTTAAATCGAAACACACAGGCAGGTAAGGGATGGTCATGTGTTTTTTGTTTTTTTGTTTTTTTTTAAATTCTACTAACATAACAAGTACGGTCCTATTTACTTTTCTAATCTTTGAAAAAATCATTACCTTTACGTTTTAAACAAAACCATTTGAAATTTAGAGTGGTAACTTGACTCTCATTTCTTATGTTTGTTGCTTATATATAATGTGTAGACATAGTTTTAAAGACAGCAGACAGAAGGTAGAAAAACCTGCCTAAAGAAAAGACCACACAGCTCAGAACAGCACCAAAAAAGCATTTAACTTTGGCTTTGGACTTGCTTTCTGAGTCTCATTAGATTATTTTCTGATCTAAAGAGATGCGGGGGACTCAGAGCATCACAAATATAATAGAACAAACCCTTCATGAAGGCGTGGTCTGCAAAAAGCTGGAAACTCTCTGGACTCCAGGCTCAGATCATCCCGGATACAATAACCTCTCATTTACAGACTTCTCTGTTAGTGTCTATTGGACTCTAGACACTATACCGAAAACGTTCAGAATAAGAATGTAGCCATGGCGGAATGTGCCCAATCAATGGGGCCTTGGGCATCCTCCAGCTGACGTTCTACCAGCTCTAAGTAAAGATGTTTGAGTCCCGAGGCCCCTGAGTCCAGGGCTCCCTGGGGCCGAGGAACAGGGCACCAGTGAAAGACAACTGGATCCTGACTCAGCAGACTGGAGTCTGAGTTTCGGGAGTATCACTGCTTACTAGCTGTGTCTCCACTCACAAAGCCCTTAACAGCTGATTGTGAATTAGCTGATCTATAAAATAATAGCGATATCTGTTCTGCCATCCCAAAACTGTTTTATATATTGTGTGTGTATATATATATATATATATATATATATATATATACTGCTTTACATATATATATACAGTATACATATACTGTTTTATATTGAAAAAAGGGGAATATATAATACAGTGCTTGTAAATTGTATAATGCCACAACTATTAGCAATTAAGTGGAAACCAGTATTTTCCAAAGGTAATGACCTGTTTGGTGCCTTAAAAATTATCTACATTATGATGCATTAGCAGAGATACTTTAATTCCAAGAAGAAGTAAATTTAATTTATAGACCAATCAAAAAAAATCAAGTCAGAGCAGGAGACAAAAACAAAAACCTTAAAATAACTGGAAACTGTCTAAATTCAAAGCCACGTCTTGCTATTCTCATTAGCACATAAGAAAACTAAAACAAACAAGAACAACAATACAACTTTGCTTCTTGGGAGTTTCCGCAAAGGAGTAATTCAAGACAGGTCCTTTTTCTGGAGAGCAGAGGGCTTATGTTAAGAATTGATGTCAAGAAATGGAACTATTTCAATGGGACTATCTTTAGAATGTAATGCATATGCTTCTGTCCGCTGCAAATGGGTAGGATACAGTATAAATAAGGCTGTCTCCTGAGAGTTCAATAGCCTGATGAGCCAGAGTGATGGTCTGGCTCCCAGGCCTGGGATGTGAGTATAATACTACTTACCAGCTTTACAACCTTGAGGAGATTTCTTAACATCTCAGTGTCCTGGTTACCTATTCTGTGGAAGTGCAGTGATCGCAGGAGATACTGTGAAAATTCAATGACAACGTCTGTCTAAGTTACTTTCTGGTGTAATAGCCAGTAAGGGGGAAGGACAGTGAGAGATGATCAATCCACTCACTAGTTAACGTACTCGTCAATATGCTAGAATGCTAGTCTACTGCACAGACTTAAGTCATGTCTCTTGAATGAAATCATTTAAAAAAAATTTTTTTAGTATTTATTTATTTTTGAGAGACAGAGAGAGAGACAAAGTACGAGTGGGGGAGGTGCAGAGAGGGAGACACAGAGTCTGAAGCAGGCTCCAGGCTCCGGGCCGTCAGCACAGAGCCGGACGTGGGGCTCAAACTCATGGACCGGACCATGAGATCATGACCTGAGCCGAAGTTGGACGCCTAAGCGACAGAGCCTCCCAGGCACCCCTGAATGAAATTATTTTTACGGGAATATTATAAAAGGAGATTCTAAGGCAAAGGAATGCAAAATTCAGAGAGGGGGCCTTCCCACCCCTCCGCATCCTGACATCCAAGGACTCAGAGTATGCTTGATGTATTAATGCATTCTGCAGGTGTGTGGGGATGTTTGGTTCCACAACTAGGTACCTCTAGAGGTCAGCAGTTTCTAGTCCTTTCCGTAGCACTTCATGTTTTTCTTTCCCTCTTCTAGCTAGCTGCTTTTTATTGAAAATCAGATCATCGAACATGTAAAACAGAGTTAGAAATAAGCAGATTTTGAGAGAAGATGTGTCCAAGAAGTATATGGACTCAAGGAGCCCTATTTTGGCTAGCTTTAGATTTTTTTCCTTTTCTTTTTGCTTATCTCTTGATTCTTCTCTGTTTACAATAGGTGAAAAGTTGCCATAAAGCATTTATACAGATAGTCCAGCATTTATACAGCTTGTAATCACACAGTTTGTAAAAGAAGCACACAAAATGGAAGGGTTATAGTCTTAAGTAATGTTACTTTGAATATAAAATTGGTCCTTGATGTATGTATCAGTTTCTAGAGTCTTGAAGTACAATCTCCCACAAGAATCACCTGTTTCCCTGAAGTATTTTGGTATTATTGTATGGCCAAAAAACTACCGTGGGTCAATCAAGGAAAGCACATTTAATGTTTTGTAGGGAAACGTCTGCTCAGACTCCACCAGCAGAGAGTCTAATTTATTAAGTAAGGGATGAGACTCAAACACTTGTGTTTTCCAAAAACGGTCCTAAGACACTCTGGAACCCCAATGCAGTTGATAAATTTCTGAAAGGCCATAAGTAGAACAGTTAGGTCATACTGAAAATGTGGAGGATAAGCTTTAAAGAAATTTTCTTGGAACTTCTACCAACAGACGCTCTGCCACTAACGGGATGTGTGAATCGGAGAGAGGAATTTCTGCAGCATCCAGTGATGACGGGGGAAAACAACTTTTGTTGATCCCCAATTTGGAAGTCGGATCTGAGTTCTACTCGCCGTCTTGCTACCAAACAGATACAAACTCTTAGCAAGTGACCCTTCTCTCGGCCTGAGTTTTTTCTTGTGTAAAAAAACTGGAGTTTTAGTCACTTTGCAAACTACGAGGATGGCTGGAGTCAAAAAGTCTGAGAACAACAAGTGTTGGTGAGGATGTGGGGCCGTCGAGAGCCAGATACACTGATCGTGGGTGCAAATAGGTGGTTTTGGAAGTTGTCTGGGAGCTCCTCGAATGATGACCACACACGGAATTACCGCATGGTGCAGCGGCTTCCTGCCTAGGTACAGACCCAAGAGAACTGAAAACCTACGCCCTCACAACAACTCGTCCATGAATGTTCATAGCAGCCTGATTCAGAATCGCCAAAGAGCGGAAACAACTCAAATGTTCATAGCAGCCTTATTTGGAATCACTAAAGAGCGGAAACAACTCAAGCCCATCAACTGATTAACGGACAAACGAAATGTGGCAATCCGCCCAATGGAATATTACTTGGCAATAAAGAAGGATATCCTGACTCATTCTCCAACTTGAACCTTGAAAACATGAGGTTAACCAAAAAAGCCAGTCACAAAGGACCACGGGGTCGTATGACTGCATCTATAGGAAATGCCCAGAATATGCAAATCTAAAGCTTTTACAAAACGTAGATTAGCAGTCGCCTGGGGCTGGGAGGGATGGGTGTGGGGAGTGATGGTTGCGCTGCGTAGGATTTCTTTTTCGGATTATGCAAATGTTCTCAAAATTGACTGTGGTGATGGATATACAATTCTATTAATATACTAAAAGCCACTGAACTGTACAGTTTAAATGGGCAGACTGTGTGACATGCAAATTATATCTAAAACAGTAAAAAATCAGTAAAAAACAGTACAAAACAGTAAAACAGTACAAAACAGTAAAAAAATCTAGAATTTTAATGCTAGCTACAGAAGATGCCCTTTAAATAAAGGCAAGTTAGCTCCTGGCCATCGTAGCTATTAAACATACTGATTTTTCTTTGCTGTTCTATTACTGATAATGTCTTCATGCCCCAATCAGACATAGCTGAATGGAGAATCTAACTAACCTGGGCTCCTAGCTGGTCCAGCCCTCCATTCTCAAACTGGAAGCTTTCATCTTTAGATGATGCAATCTATAAAATGAAGGAGCAGATCTCGATTATTTTCTCAAATTCCTTCCATGCTACTCTTGTCTGTAAATCATGAGAAATCAAAATTTTACTTAAAAAAAAAGTAATAATGTACTATTCTTTACTGACGAGCCTTACAAAATCTAGGCATTACTATTAGCTCAAGTTATAATCAGTTTTAATCAAACCTCGGATTTAACGAGAAGGTTCTCCTACCAAGTTATGAAGTCATGACGATAAAAAACCTCAAGTTACCTGTTCTGTTGCGATTACATCTTGACCCAAACCATGAAATCTTCAAAAAAGGCCTGTGTTCTCTGTTATGCTCAGGTGCTGAATACTTTGGGACTCATTTAAAGGAAGCATACCAACCAGTTTCTGCAGACGTCTGCGATCGTGCAAGACCTGGTGCTCACCTCCAGATGTCACTTCCCTTAGAAAACAAGGAGGACTTGATGACTTCCGGGGCCATCCAAGCGTAAGTGCCCGCGGCGCTCATTTTGGTAGTCCTGTGCCATTCTCTCGCTAACCCAAAGTCTGTGATCTTCAACGTTTTATTGCAGATGTTGTCATGCTCTATCTTCTCGAGCAGCAAAACTTAAAAAAAAGAAAAAAAAAAAGAATCAAAAGAATTAAAGGTGGAGTATTTTCACATTCTTCTAATTTTCTGATCCCAATGTTTCTTTGGTATTGAAGATACAACCTTCACCGCAGTCGGAAGGTAAGTGAGAAATGGGCTTGTATTTTACCACCTTGCCTTACTTCCATCACCTATGTCATAGTTGCCTGCAGTGACAAGTTGTTTATTTTTTTAATCCACAGGCACAACACAGCTTAGCAGTCTTTATGAATGTTTCCTTTTATGAGAATGTAAATGATTTCTAGGGGCAAGAAACATTTACTGAGGTATCACAGATAGGATCAGAAGTCTGTGAGAGTTCCGCCCCCCCAAACCCCCCCCTTAAGAAAAGAATACACTGTTTTCTTCCTAGAAGGTAGGTCCTGATCTAAAGGCAGAGCCTCTACTGAATGTTTTAAAAATTTTTTTAATGTTTTTATTTATTTTTGACACAGAGCATGTGGGGGCGGGGGGTGGCAGAGAGAGAGGGAGACACAGAATTTGAAGCAGGCTCCAGGCTCCGAGCTGTCAGCACAGAGCCTGACCCGGGTCTCAAACTCACGGACTGCAAGATCATGACCTGAGCCAAAGTCGGACGCTCAACCGACTGAGCCACCCAGGTGCCCCATCTACTGAATGTATTAAAGAACACAGCAAACAGATGGACTGTCACCCTAAATCGTTACTAGCAAACACTATCTTATAGTAAATTTGCAAAATGCTTACAGGTTTTTAACTCCTAAAGATACTTGATGAACTGCGTTGCTTTACTGAAGCTCAAAATAGAGCAAAAAGTAAAAGCTTGAGATAAATATTATGCAGATGCTGCTTTTCCTGGCCCTCAGCCTCCTGTCAACATACAGAATGTACAGAGCAACTTCCAGGAGCTGAGGTCACTGCCAGAGTCGGCCCCTGAGCTCTCGTGTAACAGTAGCTAAAACAAACATGCTTCTCAGTCTCTCCCCACCTGCACCCCGTACACCCTGCCCTTTCAAGAACCCGGGGTTCTTCTCTGCCCCTGCTTGATTTCCCTCTGCCTATACCCATGCAGAAACGTTCCTGAGGTTTTCCATGTGACACTAATGTAGCTACTTACCCGGTTCCTCCTTCCCATCTGCTACAAGGGGAAGAGTTTAAACCTACTGTTTTTGCTAACTTATCTCATTCCTTAAAAACCTGCAATCTGCCTTGTAGCCCCACTGGTCTTTTTCCAAAGCACCCCCTCCACCCCACCCCACCCCCACCTTCTCCAATTCCCCTGCCACAGAATTACAATCGTCCTAACTGGCCAGGATAATGATCTACCAGCAGATTCACCTTCCTAAAGTGTCACAGCATTCCTTTATTTTTAAACCTTCCACACACAAACTCCCAATATAGGCAACAACGTGGATGAATCTCAAAACCATCACACCAAGTGAAAGCAGCTGGACATGAAAGGTGACATACTATGATTCCATTCGTATTCTGGAAAAGGGACAGAAATCAGATCCGTGCCTGCGGAGGCTGATGGCATAGGCTTCACTGCTAAGCTCCACGAGAGAACTTTTTGGGGCCATGCCAATTCTCTATCTTGGTGGTGGGGGTGGTTGTTGTCACAGGATGATACATATTTGTCAACTCCTTCAGAGGGTGAGTTTTACTGTATGTAAGTTACAGGGTAGTAAACCTGCATTAAACAAAAAGCAAAAACCAAAAACCAACTCCCATGATTCCCGATGACTCAGAGACAATGTCCACACTCCAACATGTGGGCCACCAGAGCTCTACCTCCGCACAGCAACCTACCTTTCAAACGACATCATCTTCCTCTGTGTTTCCTCCACTTAAACTCCTCATCCAGCCCCCACAGGGTCCTCTTGGTGGAACCTTCCAAATACCTCTAAGCAAAGGAAAATTACTCCCCCACCCTTACTCACACGAACCTTGTGTTTCTATTACGGCCCTTATAAAACATAGGGTACTAGAAATATTTGTTTTCACCTCTGACTTCTCCACTTAGACTACTAGCTCTGAGAGAGCGTGTGTGAGTTAGAGAGTGAAACAAAAGAGAGGGAGTGAGAGACAGAAAGTTGATAGGGAGAAGAGGAAGAGGGGGACAGACACGCTCAATTCACATTCATACTGTTATCTACACCGCGTCTGGTCTTCTTCAAGGCAGGTGCTTCACGTTTACAGATGAACAAAACACGCACATTGTTACAGTTGCCCTTTGCAGGTGCCCTTCCCGCCTAACAGAAGCAACAACAAATAAGAGAGTCCCTAACAAGTGCTGAGTTTTCCCATACAGCTTGCACACATCCATTACTTCATTCAAGCCTCACAAAAATCCCAAGAGATGGGCCTTATCAGAGGATAGTGTTGAAAAAAAAAACAAAGCAACAGAACGAATCCATTTAAACAGTAATCCAAATTTCAGAGTAAACAGGGCATGGCGGGGGGGGGGGGGGGGG